AGGGGGTGGGAGAAGCGCGTCCCTCTGTTGTCGGCCGTCTCGGCTCTTCGTGTGTTGCTGCCGCGCGTTGAGCCCGGCATATGGCCGGGTTCCTCGGGCCCCGAGCAGCGAACCGGAGCCAAGGCCGGAATGGTGCCGCAACCTGTACGTGGGGAGCCCTTGTATGTTGTTCCCCCCCTCCCCCCGGCGGAGTCAAACTCCTTTCATCATGCGCCCTCGTGGGGCCGAGGGTGCCCTCTCGCCGCGTGTGTGCGGTCTCCTGGGCCCCTGGCGTGGGGGCGCCCTGAAATGTGCGTCGTGTGGGTGTGTTGGTGAACGGCCGCGCACCCCGAAGCCGGCATGGCCCGGGTCTGGAGCACACACACCGGTCGGGCCACGGGGGGGGGGGGGGGGCCGGAGCACTAGGGGGCATCTCTCCTGGCCGAACGGAATGACGCCACATGGTGTGGGATTGGCGCAGCGGCACACCGCCCGGGCCTGGGCGGCGCTGGCCCGACATTTTGTTCCCCCCCCCCCCCCTGCACGGGGGGGGGCATTTTCCGTCCCTGCCCCGGTTGCCGTCTCTTGCCTAGAGGGGGGGGGGGCCGCCGCCCCCTGTGGCACGGGGGGGATGCTCCGGCGGTGTTTGGGCCACGAGCGGAGCGAGTGTGGGCCACACGCCGCGGAAGCTCTCCGGCCCAAAACCGCAACAGATAAAAGCCAATAGCCGGACGCCCTCTAACAAGTGTGGGAGATTAGTCTAGTGGTATGATTCTCGCTTCGGGTGCGAGAGGTCCCGAGTTCGATTCCCGGATCTCCCCATGTCTTTTTGGACCGCCGCAGCCTCAACGGTTTTTCCCAACACCCCCCCCTCCCCCCCCGGGCGGGGAGAGACAGAGAGAGGAGGGCGGCGGGGGCGTGCAACGCAGACAGAGGGCTTTGGCTTGCGCCTTCTTCTCATCCGGCGTGAAAGTGGCGCACAATCCAGCTTGGGTGGGCATCGGCATGGGGGGGCGTTATTCTTCCATCACCGAGGGGGTATTGGCGGCCCAGGGCGCGGTGCTCACGGTGGGAGGCGGGGGGCCATGGGGGGAGTGCGACGATGGAGGTGGCCCGACAAAGACACTGCCCACAGGCCTGGGAACAACGCCTGCCGCGGGGGGAGAGAAGGGCGCGGGAAGCGTGCCGCCAGGGCTTGGGGGAGGGGGGGGGGGGGGGGGGGAGCGGGCAGCGTTGCGAATTCCACCATGGCTGTTTCTATTTCCTGCCCATGTTTCGCCCCTCGCCCCCTGATATGACCCCCGGGACCTCCAGCCCCCCTGGGCACTGCACTCGTAACATGTTCCGCCCTCCGGCGTCGGAGCACCCTCCTGACCCAGCAGGCCGGCAGCGTCTTGCCATCTTGCCGGGGGGCCGAGGCTATTTCCGCATCTCCAAAGCCCCCGGAGAGCCGGGGGACGGTCGGGCACTGGAAAATCCCCTGCCCTTCTTCGCCCGCGTCTCCCCCGCCCCCCCCCCCCTCCACCTCGTTTTTTTTTGCGTTCCCCTCTTCTGGCTGCCGGGTACGCGCATACACGCGGGTGCGCGCGTGTGTGCACTGCACCCCCCCCCCCCCCCCCCCTTGCGTCGGTCGGCTGTTCGCCCTGGCCGACGGTCGGCCGTGAGTTCGCGCCTGAGCCCCCCAATCGAAGGCGAGTACCCACGGCTACGGCCGATCGTCCGGCCGCCTGACCGCGCCCACGGCATCTGGCGGGGTCTGACTGGCTGCCTGCTTCTTGGCCCGCCCCCTTCTGCCCGGGCCCCCCCCCCCCCCCCCCCCCCCCCCCATGCCAGCCAGCTTGTGGTACCTGGCCGCCGGCCGGCGGCTGCCACTTCTTCTGGGCTGTGTGCTTCTCCTTCTCCGGCTTGCGGCTGGCAAGGCCTCTCAACAGGCCGCCTCCGGGCCGCCTGTGCTGCCGCGCTTTCACACTCTCGTGCAGCTCGCAGATCCAGGCGCCACTCCGGCCAATGCGCGGGATAACATCCAATTTTGCGACTTCTTCGATGCCCGGTCTCTTCAGCCCAACCTGGCTGACGGGTTTGATGATCTGTCCTACATGTCCAGTTTCTTCAATGTGGCCACCTCGCCTCTTGCCCGGGCCGGGCAGCCGTCCAGCCGGCCGCGGGAATTCATCCACGGCCCGGCCTACTCGCCGCACAGATGTCACTCATATCCCTTTGCCCGGGAGCCGGCGGCCCCCTTCCGCATGGAGCCGGATCGCCTTTCGGCGCTGAACCCCGTGCTCACCGAGGCCTTTTCCTATGGCCGGTCCCTCCTCCATCGCGCGCACGACCACTTGGTGGATGGCCTTTACACGTTTGACCCTATGCGGCTGGTGCTCGGCACCACGGCCGCCGGTAGCCCCTTCGCCCTGCAGGCTCGAGTCCAATATGACGGCCTGGAGTTCATGTTCCTCGAGGAGAACAACTTCCCCAGCCACCACTTCATGCTTGAATATGAGGGCTTCAACTTCCTGCAGCCGACCGACCTCGACGGCGATGGCCTCGTGGATGCGGTGACCGTCGCTTGGCTGGCGGACATCATCGCCGTTGACACCGGCCATCCCGCCCCCCATGCCCATGGGGCCAGCAATGGCAGCCCTGCCAGCGATTCCGAGTCCATGGTGGCAGCCACCCCGACGTCTCCTCCCGCGCGTACCGGCGAGCATGGGCTCTTTTGGCTCCATCGCTTCGGCGAAGCGGCCCTGGCACCCGGCAACCCGGCTGACGTGACCCTGCTGATGACCCTGCCGGATGACATCGAAGTGGGTCAGATCCTGATCGGGGACTTCGATGGGGATGGCCTGGCGTCCGATGTGGCGGTGCTTTCCGGCCGCGATTCCACCGGCCCGGCTCGCATCATCCTCCTATTGACATCCGACCTGTCGGCCCCGGTGACCATCCTCCTGGCGGACATGTCCTTCGATGACCCGGCGCTGGTTTCCCTTTCGAGCCTCGATCACACCCCGAAGGCGGCCGCCGCGCGGCTCACCGCCACCACCGGCACCGGCACCGCCACCACCCCGGCCGACGATCTGGTGGTGGCCTTCGGCTCGCGGGTGTGGCTCATCCCCGGCCCCATCCGGCCGACCGGCAGCCCGGTGACCCATGACATCTTGGCGCTCAATTCGGTGCCCCTGCTGCCGGATCACCCAAGCACCTCGGGCGTCTGGTATTCATTGGCATTCGGGGATTTCGACGCCGATGGCCACCTGGACCTGGCCCTTGCCCATTCGGACACCGTCAATGACATCCTGCTTCTGAGCCAGGTGCACGCCACGCCGAGGTGTCTGTGTGGGCCCGGGGGCATCTGCCAGCGCGACCCGACCAGCTTCTATAGCCTTCCCTCCTGCGCGTGCGAGGACCCGCATGCCGATCTCGGCTTCAAGCTGGCCCCGTGTGAGTTTTGCCAAGTCGGCTACTTCCGGCAGACGGGTAGGTCTTGCCTTTCTCTCCGCTCTTCTGCCTCTGCCTCTTCTCCTGCTCCATCTCGGCCCCCTGCCCCGGCCTGGCCATTGACTCAAACGCCAACACCGTTCACACTCAATCAGAGAGCTCCCCCTGCCAGCAGTGCAGCGCTAGCTGTCTCACTTGTGCTGGTCCTGGCATGTCGGATTGCCTCAGCTGCCAGCCTGGCTTCGTTTTCGAATCTTCCCCGCTCCCGACCGGGCTCTGCGTGCCAGACACCACAGGCAACCAGGTGGTGGTGACCTTCCCGGACCCCGAAAGGCCGTACTATCAAGCCACCTCGGAGATTGACTTGACCATTGGCTTCCATGTGGTGCCTTTCAACCTGCATTCGACACTGCAAAAAACCCAAACGCTTGTGGAGCTCCGGCTGCAGGAGCTCTTCACCATGCCCACCAGTAAGCCGACCCTGGTTCAGGGCATCAACCATGGGAATGGGCATGTCATCTTCCATGAAGATCGCCTTGGCGGGCACTTGCTCCACTCGAGGCTCAGCCTCGCCATCAATCGGGTCACCGTCTCGGGCCCCGCCGGTTCGATTGACATGTTCCTCCTCGGCGATCGGGGGGATGTCTGCATCGCCGAGCCGGGCAAGCCCTGTGCCCGGTTCCAGACCCAGTGGGTGAGCTGGCTGCACAATGCCCACCTGGGCCGCGTGGCCCCTCGGCCGACTCCCGGGGACCCTCCCTTTGTGGGCATTCTCTCCAATGGTCACCTTGGCACGCGGCAAGTGGTTGACTCTCACATTCACAGCGCCATCTGGCTGCAGGTCGACAACAATCTAGACCTCGACTCGGTGGTTGTCCTCCATTCGCCCCCCTCCGGCCCGTCGAAAGAGTGTCACCTTGGTTGGCAGCCACGCTTGGCCATTGACATCTTCTCCTATACCTACCCGATGACGGCCGAGAACTTGCTCCCCCATACGCTTCCCTGTGGGCAGCTTCTTGGTCTCCCGGCTGTCGATCCTGCCACTCGGCCCCCGCTGCTGCTGGTGGTGACGGAGCCGGCCGCCGGCGAGGCGTTCGTGTACCTGCTGCGGAACCGCGGCCGCGGGAGCGACTTCCGCCCGCACTTTGACGCCCCGGTGCCGCTGTTGACCGGGGCCAACCTCGGCCACAAGACTGGCCACTCGCCAAGCAGGGTCCTGGCGACCCTGGACCCCACGGATCTGACGGCCACCGAGGCGGCGCTCTTCCTCTGGGACGGGACTTGGGTCTTCCGCGTGGTGCTACGCCAGCACGTTCCCCCGGGAGCCGGCCACTCGGACTCTGTCACTGTGCTGGTGGAGCCGCTGGTTCCGCGGACTTCCTTCTCGTGGCTCTCCTCCGCCAGCAACCTGGTCCTGATGCCGCTGGATGCCGATGGTGATGGGGTGGCCGAGCTGGTCATTTTCATCCCCACCGGCTTGATGACGCTCTTCCGCCGGAGCTCCGAGCAAAATGGCTGCGGCTGCGGTCGGCTCGGTGTCTGCACCATTCCAAGCAGCTGGTCCGCCTCCCGGTGCGATGGGCCCGCAGCCGACAGCTCCTGTGTCTATGAGCCGACGGCCCTGCGGACGTCGGATCTCTGCGCCTGCGCCCCGGGATTCCAATCTCCAGCCGGTGGGTCGTCCGGTCTCTGTACGATGTGTGACTCCTCCGCCAGCGGGGGTTTCCCGCCAGAATTCGGCGGTGCGTGCCACCTGGCTCCCTGTGCCCTTCCCCGTCTGTCTCTCTCTCTCTCTCTCTCTCTCTCTCTCTGCCACATGGCCTCCCTTCGCCCTTCTGACATGCCCTCGCGCCCTTGGCCCCGTTTTCTTTGGGCGGGGGCTTCTTTTCGTCCCTTCGGCAGTCGATTGTGATGCCTGCTCGGTTGAGGGCTGCTACCTGTGCGATGCCTCGGGCGAGTGCCTGCGCTGCCGGCCGGGGCTGGTTCGTACGCCGACCGGGGGCTGTGCCCCGACCTGCCCGGACCCGGATGCACCGGTGGCGGACGCTGTCTGCCAGGCCCGGGACCCATCCGACATGTGGATCAGCTCGGCCGAGATCCCCGCACACCCCTCCTGGGCCGGTGCCAGGCTGGTCGATGTGTCGACTTTGCGCTTCGTGCACCAATCCAACACCCCCCCGGGCACACGCGCCGCGGCCACCACCTTCCCCACGCTGCACGTTCTGCCGCCGAATGCCGTGGACTCGGACACCGTGTGGTTGCTGCCGGCCGCTCGGCTGTTGGCCGACGGCCGGCCGGCTGACTTTGGCCAGCTGCATCTGCCAGCCGCGGCTGCCTGGCTGGCGAACACCTGCCACCTTGAGGGGGTGGTCCTGCCGGCGGCCGACCACAAAGGCCCGGCCGCCGAGGATGTCGATGATGGAGCCGACGCCGGCCCAGCCATGGGGATGGCCTCGCCGGGGCCGCTGGCCCGGCTGTCGGGTCGTCCCCCGGGAGTCCCCCGGGCCTCGGGCGGGGACTTCACCGTGGCCGCAGTGTCCCAGCCGCGGCAGTTGGTTGATCATTCGGGGGTGGATATGGTCCCGTGGTCGGTCCTGAATCGGGGCGAATTCCCCGTTCCGCGGCCGTGGTTTGCGCGGCTGGCCGAGCCCTTCCCCGGGTTCGGCGAAGAGCCCGGGCCTACTCCAACGCCGCCGGTGTATTCGCAGATGTTCCACTTCCAGCGGCAACTCAACTCCTTTTACATGGTCGCCGAAATGGAGCCTGTGTTGTTTGCCCCGGCGCCCAGGGTGGACCCGTCGGACTTCCGAACGTGCACCCTGGCCAACACCATGGAGGAGGCGGCCACCCGTTTGACTGTGTACCAATCGCCGGAGCTCCAAGACCTCCGGGGTCAGCCATACTGCTCTTACTCTCGGATTTGGGTTTCCCTCCCAGCATGGGAGCTCTCCATGGTGCCGGGCCAGCAGTCCTGGTCCATGTCCCTGTCGACCATTGTCTTGCTGCATCGGCCCTCGAACGGCGAGCGTCCCAGCCTGGTTGTCCTCACCCGAGAGGAGGCATATCGCGCGGATCAAACCGGCTGCCATTATCGCTCACTCCGGGTACCGCTGGTGGCCGGGGCGCCGGCCTTGCCCATCATCCCTCCGAGCCCCTCCCTGGCGAGCATCGTGTCGCTGCCCATCTTCCTACATGTGGCGTCGGTGCAGGAGGTCCACCCCGCCGCGGGGATCGCCGGGCCTGGCATCATTGCCGTCGGGGAGCATCCGTACATTGCCAACCGCTTGGTTGTGGCTCTGTCCCCCAGCGAGCCGAGCCCGGTGAATCTTCAATTCGCCTTGATGAGGCTGCTCGAGGATATGCCGTATCTGGTTTTCGTGCGGACCGACAATCTGGCGGACAGCATCATGGCCATGTCGACCGAGTGTCTGGTGGAAAACCACAAAAACTGGCAGATGCCTTCTGCCCCGGGCCCTGTGCTCCCGGAGTGGGCGTGGCCCACCACTCGGCCGCTGTATGGCTGCGCTCCGGTCTTGCTGGAAACCCGGCCGCTGGATGGCCATGGCCCGCACGGCCGGCCGACCGTCCATTCCCGGGACATGGATGGTGATGGCTTGGACGACTTGGTGCTCCACTGGCCGACGACCAACCGCCTGGTGGTGTACTACACGCAGGTCACTGCGCCCCTTTCCTTCCGGCAGACGGTCATCCTGCCGGGAAATCCGCAGGATTCCCTGGGCACGCAGGCGGTCGAGGACCCGGCCCTGCTGACCCCGCAGCTGTTCTTGGCGGATGTTGATGGGGATCGCTTTGTTGACATCCTGCTCTTCGACCAAGCTGCCCCGGCCGGCGTGCGTTCCTCCACTCCCTCGGGCCCGGTGCTGCGGCTGTTCGGCCGGTCGGACCAGACCAGCAACTGGTGCCCGGCCGAGGTGGACTATGACCCGGTGACGGATGAGTGCGTGTGTCGCGGGCGCTTGCGGCACCTGACCCCCCTGTCGGATGCGTGCGAGTGCATCACGCACGCGGTGCCGGTGGCCCCGGGCGCGCCGGATTGCGTCTGCCCGGTGGG